TTTTTTTGGTTTTTTTTTGTTTGTTTGTGTGTTTTTTTTCTTTTTTTCTTTTTTTTTAATAAAGATAATGCGCATAACGCTGGTATTTATTCCTGGTCGGATACAGACGTTCTCCTTCGTGGATTGGCGAGCATAGAAATGAAAATGGCATGTTAAAGAATTATTTGAGACATTTAAGAGAGTATGTGCATACAGTACTGGACAAAACAGTTTGGCCTGTTGACGCAGGGATCAGCTGCAATGTTACAAGGAATAAAATGAACAAACCTTGCATCGTCTAAATGCGATTTTCTATATCTAATGAGTATATATATTTGGAACGATCAGTGTTTTATAATTTTTCTTTTTTCTTTTTTCTTTTTTGTGTATTCTCGTTTACTGTCTGTTATTTGAGCCTGCAACAAGTCTCGAATATGGATGCGATTTGATCGGGCAATATATCCAAACAGTCTTGTCCATCACTGCAGCAATAATTGCTTGATACTGGACACAGCCATGCATGGAACAAATTTTCCATCAAAGCCACATGTTTCTGCAAATGCAATCTGTCCAGATCTAACCATGGATTAGCAACGACGCTCGCTAAAGAGTAATTATTCGCAGGCATACAACAAGTTGGTGTGTCAGGCGAACTGCGGGTTCTATGTACTGCTGAAACCAATCAGAAGATCACATTTAAATACATATCTTTTCTACATATGCAATAGAAAATGAAACGTTCCAGCAGGTGATCTGCTGATTACTTTGAGCAATATATACATACGTATGCATACACAGGTGCACGTATGTACACTCGACCCTCAATTTACGCGGCGGTTTCTACATACGATGTTAGTTTAGCAATATCGAGTAAAATGAAATTTTGTCCTCTGAAATGTCACTATTATTATCTCTTTTGTCTGACTGTGTGAAATAAATATGTATCTTTGAAACTTATATCAGCTTCTTTTTCCAATATTTTATTTTCTCTTGTATCGACTTTATTTAATAAAATGAATTCATGAAACGGATTTTCATGTAAATCAAGGGTCAGGTGTATGTATACGTACGTATACATGTACAATGTCACAAAACGTTGTGTTACATAGAGTCCTACTGAGAGCACATAAAGAGAAAATACAATTCTTCTTTTCAAACGTAAAAACTACAGGCGTTAATCAGTCGTAAATATATTTGTAATTAGATCAAAAAGAAGAAAAATAAATAAATAAACGAAAGAGAGTCCCAAGTGTTCACATTCATTGGAGAAATGATGGTAAAAAGAGCGTTAATAAAGTTCTCCTCCGAACAGAAAGTATTTGAAGTCTTTAATTAATATACATAACGAAACAGATATGTAGTACGATACGAGATCTTACCAAAAAAAAGAGAAAAAAAAACAATGTATGAATACAAGACGTAATTAAGTATACATAATTGCTGACACAGAAAAGAGAACTAGGATGATGTTCGGTGTAGCTTCAACAAAGTTTAGAAACGATTAGGCAAATCAATATAAACCAGCAGTGGCGGCAACTAGAACAACAGAGTTTGAAAGTTCGCTGACCCAGGCAATATGTTCAAAACATAAAACTTCTAAACCAGCCTTATGTGTGTGTGCAAAATATACAACTTAGCAAGTGTCTCTTTTCGTTCCTCTTTTTTTTTTAAACACAAGCTTCCACTGACTAGCACGATATACAACATTCTTTCTTTCGTTGTCTGCTTGTCCGTAAAAATATCATTGCACACAAAACAACACATATTTCTATCACAGTAGCACTACATTTTGTTTTTTCTCATTCGGTGTCCATCTGCAAAGGAACTGTGGCCGAATATCACTGTCAAGATTCTTCTTTCACACGTGTGACAAGTAACCTCATGCGCACAACTCGAAAGAACTCGTCAACAAAACAGAAAACACAGGGGGGAAAACAAACAACAGTGTAGCGAAAAGAAAACGTGTCTCCATAATATTCGCTGAACATTACTGTATAACGTTGCGCGCATTACAACGCAAACAGCATTTCTAATCTTCATTGTATTTTGATATAGATGCAGCCATATCTGGCAAATAATTCAAATGTTAGACAATGTTCTCAAAATCCCTCACGCGCCGTCAACGATGCACTAGATCTTTCCCACGCAAAGATCGACTGCATCGTTAACGGTGCGTACCAGAAACAATATTATATTATGCGTGTACACCTTGCAACTACGTTACAGAATTCATTAGAATGATCCCTATTATGTTTCACTTGCACGTGTATCGTCATGAGAAAAGAAAAGAATGAAAGTGATTAACACGATACGAGTTAAAAATGATGAGCTAAATAGAAAGAGAGAAAGAGAGAGAGGAAGAGAGAGAGAGGAAGAGAGAGAGAGAGAGAGAGAGAGAGAGAGAGAGATGCACTCTATTGTTTAAATATTTCTTAAATATTGGTGCTTCTACGAATCCAACAATGGCAATAATGAAATGAACGCACTGATTTACTGCGACTTTTGTAAGATTTAGAAAAGAAGCCAAAATGCAAGTCTCACCTGACAATAAAAATCTATATTACGTATCAACCCTCTACATAAAGCAATGCTGGTACATGGTAAAAAACTTAACTGCATTTGCAACGAGTAAACCTTATGCGGTGTCCAGCCAATTAAACTGTCACGTATAAAAATAAAAATGGATGACATATTATTGCACTCAGAATAAATAATTTTTACTGCCAGGTTAAAGAATAAAGAGAAACGGGCAAGGCTAATAATCTATACTGATGACAATTTCTACTTACCTCGACTCTGGTTGTACCCAGCTTGCCATCCAGCATAGTACGCCGCTTTTTGTTTCCCATGTTCCTCCGCGATTTTTACGCTAAGCGGCTCCGATCCACCATCTGGTATCGTGCCATGTAGTCTTGCAATCGCTTCTTGCGCTTCTTCCCGCTTATCGAATCTATGCAGATATACAAAACAGAATTGAAGAAAACCCAATAGTCGTAAAGAAAATTCGTTGGCAGAGGAATAAGTGATCGGCTGCCAGATCCGAGGGCCTAATAGAAGATTTAACAAGACCGATCTAGAGCGTGCTATAAGAGTGCCCTCGTTACGGATCCCTAAAATCTGCCAAAATTAAGAGAAATTGTCAAACTAGTTTCGCGTCTATTTCCAGCTAGCTGACACAGTTTTCATACTATTTCCTACAACAAACTAGCCCCTATAGCAGCACACAATCCGCGTTTTAAGAAGCCGAAAGTAGGTTGGTGGGTCGTCAAGCGGGATAAAATCGAAATTATGCAAGTGAAACGCGGCAGCAGACGTGTAAAAATAATTTGGCAGCAAAGATACGCGGGGAAATAAATACGCGTATGACAGTATACGCGACGGAAAATCGTTGCATAATGACAAAGCAGTTTTTGATACCGGGAGCAGCTGTTTCGACAGTTCTAGGTGCATCCTAGTTTCTCAGGGATCTAGGCGCCGACCAACAAAAACATCTAACGCCGTATCTTCTGTCGCGCATTACCGCCACCTTGTCCTATTATATTACTAACTGCGACAAAAATGGAACACTGCCAAAAAGCATAATTTTATATCTTCTACTGGCATAACGGTTACTGTTAACTATCCTTCTTAATGGAAGAGCTTTCACTCTCCCCAGAAATGTGTAATTTCCCTCTGCATCCCTTAATAAGATGTAATGTGATTTGAATGGAGCAATGATACTGAAGAATGGATTCATACCTGACAAACGCCACACCTCTTGGCAGTCCAGTGAGTTTGTCCTTTAAAATATTCTTCTGCACAATGTTTCCATATTTGCTGAATATGTCATCGATCTGACTTTCTGTTATATTTCTGGAAAATAACAAAAATATAGAAGTTAGTGTCTGTCCTTAATACTGAAATTTCAATTTTCATAGAATTCTAATAGTAGTTTAATGTTTCTGTCTCGTGAAAGTACCTTGGTAAATTTGTAACATATAGATTAGTCTCTTTAATCTCCTCTCCAGAAGGTCGTGCAAAAGATACTTTTAGCCTTTTGTTCTGTACCTGTAGACCATTTAAGGTATTTATGGCTGTTGCTGCATCTTCAGCTTTTGCGTAATTAACAAATCCAAAACCATAGCTATACCCAGTCTGTATAAGAAAAAGAAAGATATATGTTATTGACGACTAATTATTAATTATCTGAGATAACATTGAATGCATTCACATGATACTTACTTTATAATCTTTCATTACGCGGCAAGATTCCACAGGCCCAATAGTAACAAACAAGCTATATAGGTCCTTCTCGGTCATACTCTGTGGAAGGTAATTAATAATCAAGTTTGTCCTTGGTTCATCGCCGCCTTTACTTTGTTGCTGCTGCTGTTGTTGTTGCGGTTGTAACTGTTGCTGTTGTGCTTGGAGCTGCTGTTCTCGCTGATCCGTCATTTTCGAAGACTCCACAGAATTTTGCTCTATTCGCTGGTGGGCAAGTAGATTCTGCTGTACAGCGATGTCAACCGGGTGATAGTTCAGTCTCTGTAGCTGCTGCGTACTCCAACTGATACATCCCAGCAAAACCATGGATGGGGTCAGCAAATACAAAAAATATAAACAAAATCATTACTACGTCTTCCACGTGTGATGCCATGATCGTTGCTCGGTCTGTGCTTTTTGGAATACTCTCGCTTTCTTAAGCAATTTAAAATAAATAGAAAATAAATCTGCATATATACATATATGTATATGATGCCAGACCTGTGTATCAGAAACAAACAAACAAAGGCAAGTAAGGACAAAACAGAACCAGCGAACAGCCACGAATAAAGCAAACTAAAAGTCAAATTAAATACTCAGCATACTCTTAGCAAAAGAAAGATAGTAGCAGTCTCATTGTCAAAGGTTACAAGGCGTTGTAAAACTATCTCAAGTATTCGTATCATGAATGAACAGTCGTAGAGGACAATACGTAAGAAATGAGTATCTGATTTTGAAATTCCATCACTCTGAGCACCGACTCAATCGTTTTGCATATATAATACCACTGCAATACCTGTGTCTAGAATACCTGCATCATAACCTGTTAATGCACAAACCCGACAATATAAAATAACCGAATGAACAACAACCACAGAAACTTTAACCACAAAAATCAAAATCCAGACCGAACCGTGTTATCAGTAACATCGACGTTTCCGCGTAATCCTGATGCAGATACACCTAGCCAAGAAGAAAAAAAAACAAAGGTGGTACACACTCCATTCACTAGAAATTCCACGTAGCCCGGTAACCGTTTGTTTATTGTTTACGGGCACGGTGATTTTTACTGGGGGCATAGGGAACGCGTTAAATTCCTCTGGAAATTAACAACCCCCTGGACAAATCCTCTTCCCTCGCTCGACCGACCAT